ACAATACATAGTGGGTTTCAGCATTTGGAATTTTTATTACCAAATATTCTAAATCAATTAATATGACAATATGCTACGTACGTACGTAGTATGTAAACTTTGTAATACTGATACTATAACTAGTAGTGCTAAGCGATTATTAATAATACGTATAAACGACTATATTTTATACTGTGTTATAATATAAACGGTATCGGTATAATAAGGAACGGTATGATTCTATCAAGAATGGTACGTAGATCTGTTTTTTTTTTATCCCATCAGGATAGGTACCGACGATCCATCAGGAATAGTAGTTTTGCTTATTTGAGTGAACTTTTTAAAATTTTTGTAAAAACTTTAATACCAAAAAAAAAAAATATATATATAAGCCGGGTTATTTTTAAAATTTTATGTTATAAAAACCAAAAAACTAATTTTATATGGCCTAAATTTGATTTAAACAATTTTTTTGCAAAAATTTACATATATAATTTTGATTACTTAATTAGGTAAGGGTCGATTAGAAGTTAGGATCAGAGCAAGTCTTATATGTAAAATTGCTTTCCCGACATTTTTAATTAGTGCTTCAAGGCAGGTTTAGAGACTCGTTTTTTTTATATCTTACAATTTCACTTTTATTCTTTGTTTTGTCTTCGAGCTGAGTTAATCAAAATTTATATTTTGATTGGCTCTTGGGCACGTGATCGCACCTGGCTTTAGACGCTCCAGATTTACCTAAAATTAACTTAAATTTTTCCGTACTTCTTTGCTTTTTCATAGGCTTTTTTCTCTCCTTGCTCACTTTCAAGAATGCCCATGATATTATTGATTCTTTTTTTGTATAATGTATCCTTTTCTTTAACCTTTCTGATATTATGGTGCGCAATATATATACTGTCTTTCCTTAATTCTCGGATCGCTCCTTTGCGTTCTTTCTTGTATTGTGCTTTGAGTTTATTTAAATTAGCTCGTTCTCTATCTGGATCATAATGTTTATCAATAGAGAAACTATAAAAAAGGAGAAAGTATTAATTTTGTTGCCTAAAAAATACATCAAGATAAATGATTTGAAGCATACTTTTCTTGAAATTTGGGAGTGTAAGTGGGAAGAGGAATAGGACGGTGATGTTGCAATTCTAGAGGTTTACGGCTCTTTTTAGAAAATTTTTGCAATCGTTCCAATGTTTCTCGTATTGAACCTATTTTCATCTAGTAAATCGAAGTTAATTATCAATCTTGGCTACAAAAAATTCAAAGCAAACATGTCAAAGTACCTTAATTGTGCCAGAAAATTTATCTAGCGGGTAAGCATCTATAATTTTGGACGCAGGCTCAAAAAGCTCTGAAAATGCTGGAGCGGAATTATACATTTTTGCAAAATTTTCAACTAAATGTAGAATAGCCATTAATGCTGATAAACTAATAATAATAAAGAAATAGCTTTAAACAATAATATTGATTAGTTCTAAACGAAACGTGATGTCATTGATTTCAAAATACCGAAATACATCATTATCAAAAACATTGTTGTTTCCATTGCCATTCACCACACTTGACAATTGTGAAAAATCTAAAGGATTGGCGTCATCAATATAGGTCGTATCTTTTATTTGAAGAGTGGGGATAAATTTGCTAGAAAATGGAAAGATTCCAGGAATTGATTCCATCGAGTTAAACGTGCCTTGCGGTGCAAGGTATACAAGCGCGATAAAAAGGAAATTGAGAGCTTCAGGAATAATGCGTTTCGCCAAAATTTGATACTAAAATTATGCATTCTCAATTATTCGTAAACTAAATATGCAATAATTAATTCGTAAATCACCGCATAGAAGAAAGACTCCATAGTAGAGGATATAGATCGGGATTAAGAATTTAGCGAAATGTGAGTGAACTCTAGCGTTTTGGTTGGTAATTTATGTATAGTAAACAGAAATCTACCAATCATAAGCTTTAATATGTGGGATGTATCATCTTAGGCCATTTATACGGTGATTTACGGTATATTCAACGTGGTAATAATCTAACTTACCTCATGCATTAAATTACATAAAAACAAACCAGACACTAAATCTAAACCATTTAAAAGAGGACATTGTGCAAGATATTGTGCCATAAGTAATAAAGTAGGGGTAGTTACTGGATGATGAAAATCAGATGTCGGAAAAACTTGGGATAGTATTCTTAATAAAATGAATTCAGAAATGGTGGGAAACATTAGTTTTGAATTTTTTAAACCAGAAGAGGATAATCTTTTTGTCAAGTTATTTTCCATGGCAACAATCTTGGACAAAAAGTAATCTGTAGCACTTTCCGGTATTTGCTGTACGAGATCAAAAATATGGCCAACAAGTTTATTGATAAGGAGCATCGGCACAGGATTCTCTTGCGCACGATGTAGAACATAGTCCATAAGTACTGTAAAGAATTTCTTGTAGTTATAATGAACAAGTTAGGAATTGCATCATCATAATTCAAACGCATCATTTCATTAATAAATGTGGCAGATTAAAATGAAATCAGATTAAAATGAAATTTTTCTATTTTTTTAGGAAAATTTAAATTTTTTGGGGGACATTTTTTAGGGTTAGGGTCAGTGTTAAAGTTAGGGTTTAGAGTTAGTTTTATTAATAAAAGAGTATAAGTGGGTTTTATAAGCTTTAAAGATGAGCAAGAAAGGTCCCCAGTTTCATTTTAATCCGATTTCATTATGATCTGCCACAATAAACATTGATTTTACACGAATACTGACCTCCAATTTTACTTTGTTTTCGACTGAGATCTTTATGTGATATAGCACACGAATTCGATGCACCACCACATGAACTTCCTCATCATCAACATTCTGCAATATTTTTAAAAATTCTGCCAGGGTTGTTGGACAAGGAAAAGTATATGCTAATTCAGACTTATCCTTAGTTTTAGTAATTCCGTGCTTAACAGCCAAATTTTTTGAATTCATAGGCAATACATCAGATGATAAATCGGTAGCATCATGATCGCTTTCGGCAATTGGGATGGAGGTATCATTATTATCGTCGCTCAAAGTTTGATTATTATCATCAGAAACTGTCAAATCAAGATCTGAATAATAGTCATCACTATCATCATCGTCCTCATCATCGTCTTCATTATCGTCCTCATCATCAGATGTATCTTCATCTTGCGCTTGTTCAATTGTTGTAGAATCCCTCAAAGTAACCCCCCTGGCAAGATTATAATGATCATCGTCATAATTTTCGGACATATGATCATAATCCAGATCATCTGTCATGGAAATTCGGTTTTGTTTTTTGCGCTTAACAGAATCATCATCAGACTCTGGGTCCAATCCTTCCATGCGCCGTTTCCGCGCAACCTATCAATTCGACAAAGATATGATTAACTACTTCAATAAAGAATGTGTGTATATGTATAATTACATCTAGTCTTTCAAGTTTTTCTTTCTCCTCAAGAGCTATTTCTTCCTCTGACTTTATTCTATCGGTAGGCCTTGTGCGTCTGTCAAGTGCTAACTCCCGTACATATCTATCGTACGCGTCATCCTTGTCAGAAGTATTAAGGGTTTTCTCTGACGCCGATCCGTTTGATACAGACTTCAAAACATAATATAGATATCAATAATTATAAACACATAAAAAGAAAAAAAAAGGAACATAGTAGAATTTAAATTAACATTTCGAAATGCGGCTTCTTGAGTCGGTAGGGGGTCTACTCCTGATTTTGGCAGTGATATGAGATTACGGATTTCATCTAAATCATTATCCAGTTCATTGCGTACGCGTTCGTCTTCCTCTTTCACAAGTTGGCGTTCGTACTAATTGATTAAGGAAAAAGCTTAATTCAAATACAGTACGATTCAAATGAAATGTGAAATGATTGTAACCTTGTAAATTTTGCTCTTTGCGATAACTTCTTTCATGACTTCTGTCTTGGACTTTTTTTTATGCCCATATTCCTATATATTTATATATAATTTGAAGCCAGTTAACTTTTATTAACGTGTTTAATTCTACTGGATGAATGCGTGTAGTATTAAACAGAATTACATCATTATTATCGTTATTTTGTTCGTCTTCTTCAAACCCTCCAAAATGACTTTTGTCGACAGTGTCATGGTCAATTATACCTGAGACAATATGAAAAATTCAATAAAAGCAAAATTATCTTACAGTTATCAGGTTAAAAGAGACCTCTCCAGGAGGAATGTGTCTAAAATCTCACTCGTCAGATTCAATAATTATTTACCTGCATCTTCCTCATTTAATGATAAATCAGGTTCATCGAAATCATCGATTAAAGCAAGTGACTGGCCGTAATGCGTTAAATCATCGTCTTCGAGGTTAAATAATGATGAATTTGAATGCCTCTAAAGTTTTGTATATTTATAAATATTAAATTGAATAATTGTATGTTTGATAAATATAGTAATTCAGATTGAATACCTGTTTTTTTTCTTTTGCGAATCTCTCCAGCATTTTTTCCTCCAGCGATAGAGTTGGATCATCTTCACCAAATCGTCTATCAATTAATCCGCCTACTTTGTTGCGATTCTCCATTTCAACAAGTAAAGTTTTTTTTCGCTAAATGGGATAATGTAGTTGGCTGGTTGATCAAATCTTATAACACTCCTTATGTAATTTGCGAAACAAATACGAACTTTTTCTATACCAATTTGTCTTTTCAGACCAGGTCTACCCTGGGTACCTTTCACTTTTCTACCCAGTACATTATGCTTAGTTTTGGTAACTTTTAGTTCGAAGGGATTGATTTGATTTTTTAAGAATTCTAATTTGTCTTTAGTATTATTCCTGTCATCTCCTTTAGGCTTCCCTTTTCTCTTCTGTTTTTTACTCATACTCGAGCGGGAGCCATGCCCAATGACTTTAGCTTCTTTTAATGTCGACTTTAGTCGTTTTAAAGCGGATCCACCGGATTTTGTCATATTTTTTTTTTTTTCTATCTAGCGCTAGTAGTGGTAAAGTACAGAAGTAATTAAGAAAGATCTTGTGCAATGATCGTCAATCTGCATGTGAAATTTTAGATAAAGGCGCAGACGAAATTAACGTTAATCCTGTAATCAATCCACTCTCACAATGAAGCTTGATGCAAAATTGTTACGATATATGAATACGGAAGAATTCCGTGTTCTGACAGCTGTAGGTATTAATTTTACAAAATTTCTTTCAATAAATTAAATTTAATCCAAATTACATAAATTAGGTTGAAATGGGATCCAAGAATCATGAAGTTGTACCTACGCCTCTTGTCGCTCAAATCGCGGGTTTGCGTAATGGTGGTAGTCATAAAATACTTGGAGAACTAGCAAAAAAAAATCTCATTTCTAGAGTCACCAATGCAAAATGCACGTATCATGAGAAATTTAAATGTTTGAGTCCGCAAAATATTCACAATTAAATAAAATTTATAGATGATGGATATAGATTAACATATGGTGGTTATGACTATCTTGCTTTAAAAACTTTTGTTAAGCGAGGGGGTGTTTATTCTGTGGGCAATCAAATCGGTGTTGGAAAAGAATCAGGCAAGAATAACTCCAAGTCGTAATTGTTTCATATTATATTATTTATTAATGCAAATTTTATCTATACAGATATATACGTTGTTGCCGACGAGGATGAAAATCAATTAGCCTTAAAAATACATAGGTATGCACAAACTTTTAATGGCATAAAACCATTTTTAAAATGGTAACGAATTGTGAAATCATTAGACTTGGCCGAATCTCTTTTCGAGCAATAAAGTCAAAACGAGATTATCTTCAAAAACGGAAATCAGCATCTTGGATGTACATGTCAAGGTTAGCTGCCATGAAAGAATATGCATTTATGAAGGTAAATTATGGAAGCGCTCTGTACCGCTCAGTACAGGAAAAAATAATATTCATTTAATTAAATTTTTTAAGGTTTTATATGAAAATGGCTTTCCGGTTCCAGAGCCAATCGATAACGTCCGACACTGTATAGTGATGGAACTAATCGATGCTTATCCATTGTAAGGTCTTTGTAAAATTATAAATTATTTTTAAAGTCATCTGATTTTAATTTATCCTGTATAGGCGACAGATAACTGATATGCAAGATCCGGGCCGGCTCTACTCTGAACTTATGAATTTGATAGTTAGGTTAGCCCAGCACGGTCTTATTCATGGAGATTTCAATGAGTTTAATATTCTTGTAAAAGAAAATGGAAATCCTGTGCTAATTGATTTCCCGCAAATGGTATCCACTTCGCATCCTGATGCTGAATGGTTAGCCTATATGAATGGCTGTGATTTATAATTACTTAGTTAAAAAAAAATTAACGTAGAATATTTATTATTGCTTAGGTATTTTAACCGTGACGTAGAATGTATTCGCACTTTTTTTAAGAGGAGGTTCAATTACGAGAGTACATTGTATCCAAAATTTAAGCTTGATATAAGCCGTGAATTCAGTTTGGATGTACAAGTTGCCGCAAGTGGATTTACTAAAAAATATCAACAAGAATTGGAATCGGTATTTAATGGATATATCTCGATAATTTGTAATTTACATTATAAAAGTAAAATCATTCATCAACTTTGTCTTCGTTAGTATCAATTAGAATTAGGAGAATACTCAAGAAACAATGACAATGTACAAGAATTTGATGAGAGCTCTCAAGATGAGACCGATGAATCCACCGAAACCGAAAGCAATCATATTTCATTGTTAGAAGATAAAGATGTTAGTAGTCTCTTTTTTTTTTTTTGAATAGTTGCATTGATTACATAAATGTGTATATCTTAATTACCTTTTCTTCGTGGAAAACGTTTAATTTCAGCTTCTGAACACTTATTCAGAAGATGTCTCAGCGGATATAAAATCATTCTCAACAGAAAATAATCATGATGTAAATTCTGATATCGAGCTTTTAGACAATCGTAACTATAAAGTTTACGAGAGCAGTAAAAGGCCCTCAACTGCCACAAAAAATCGCCTTACAGAATCCGACATAAAGGAACGTGTTGCAAGATCATTAAAGAAAACTGCAAAAAAGAAAAACACTAATAAGCGGCATTCTACAAGAAATAATATTAAGGTCAAAGAAAAAAGAAGGGCTAGAGATGTAGCAAAATACGATGGTAAAGATGTCGGAATCTGGGACTAATTTTGAAGGAAAAATGGATATGTACTGTATACAGATCTTGATTGTGTGCCCAATAATTTAATAATCGATTTATTTAATGATAATAGCATTAACCATTTGTTGTAAAGATTCGTATGCGTTTATTACATATATTGTGTCTCTCTCTACCGAAAAACCTATATGCTGAACACTGTATAGATCGGAATCAATAAAAACACAAGATACTCGCGTAACATGACAATGGCAAATTGCTATTTAACTTTTACTGTGGTCAAACTGCTTCTAGCTCTAAGCAAAAATTCTCAGAATAAAATTTTAACACGTATCAAATCTGTGACAGGTTATGTCGATCACCGAATCGAAAGAGTTTAAGTGCAGATTTTAATTTACTTTATATTTGATATTAAGGTATACTCATATTCAAACTACGGTTATCATAGTAAAATCTTGAGTTATTTACGATTTTTCTGTTTTC